ACATATTATGAAGAAGTAGTCTTCTAAAAATACTGATTTTCTTCTTAGAAGGCTGAGTACTCTAATAAAGCAAATCTATTTTTTTGAAGATTACATTATGCCAAACAATCTTAGGAAGATTGAAAGAAGATAACCCACATTATTGTAGTCCATCAAAGAGGTATAATGAGTTTCTAATATATAGGTTTCCCCTGACAATCAGAGGAAAATAGCCTCCTATGATGAAGACTGAAATCTGGCTAACTCCTACTTAGATGATAAAAAGAAATACACAAAAACTTGTCATGTATTAAAAATAAATTTAAGCAACATGAATGAAACCTTTCTTATTTTGGTAAATCTTAGAAAAGGTCTTAATATTAAAAATGTAGAAAAATGGATCACTTTTTGCAGAAGACAGCATTCCGCCTTTCTTATTGTGAACTATTACATTTATAGGCTTCAGACAATGAATGATGAGGCCAATAATTTCAGCATGCACTGGTCAGAAGATTAAAAGACTTATTCTCCAATTTACCTCAAGGATGTGAGAGTGGTGTGCAAACTACATAACATAAACATTTTTGCTGTTGAGAACAAAATTCTACAGAATAGCAAAAGCTTATAGACCATTTCTTTCATAGTATACCTATAATGGGGAAACATTCATAACAAGTATAAAATGTGCAGTTTTAGAAATCTTCCAGCTGAATTGCTCATTTTTCATTGTGCTTTAATATTATTAGCATAGCACTTCTATTGAGTACTGGACAAAATACTTAGTGAGAAGTAGCTGTTCTCATTTATTAGCTTACTCCATTTTGCTTGCACATGCTTGTTTCTATTCTGGTAGCTGACTGAGGCGCTGAGCACCAAGCTGGAAGCACCCATTAAAATGGGATTGCAAACACCTTACTAGTCTTTACATTTGTGGATCATAAAGAAATAAGAAAATAAGCAGAGGGCTGTTCTACCTATCCTAATTACTGTTTGATTAATTATAAATTTAATTTCACATGATTATATCATTTTCATGCAGACATTCACAAGATTTCATTGAATCCATACAACCTCCCTTTTATGTATTTCTCCTTTCTCACAAATGACTCATTGGCATGCTTGTAATACCAAAATCTGCTCTGACTCCAGGTTTGCATTGACATATTCAGATAATGCCAGGCTTTAAGCCAAACTAATACCCTCTTCCTTTTATGAAATAGGCAAATGCATCATAAGACTTTAAGAGGTTTTGCAGAGTTGTAGAGAGGATTCAGAGGTAGTGTTACTGTTATTCAGTAAGTTATTCAGAGCTTACTGTTCTCAGACAGAATTCGAGTTCAGATTCCCAGGAGCCATTTTGGGCAGCCTGCAAGCAGTATTTTATACCTCCACCTCCAGAGGTTCCAACTCAGACTTCAGACTACTCTGGGCACCTGCACTCCTATGCATATCCATGGATATAATCCATGTATAGAAAAAAATTCATTCGTATATCAATATTATAAAGAAACTGAAGTCTTCAATAATATTCTTTAGGTTTTTTTGAACAAAATGACTGCATTTTATATATTTAAAATACATTTTTATATATTTAAATGTTTGTATATATTTAATAGAAATAATTAATGTTTTATATATTAAGATGTAACTTAAATGACAGCTATTAAAAATTTGCATAGTGATTTACAAATTTTAATATCACATGTTCAAATGATTTATTTATGCAAGTAATCTTACTGTAGAATTTAATACATTTATCATGTGGGATTCCCCTCTGCATGCTGTGAATATGTTTTATTATCATTGGTTTATAAAAATGCTGCTTTGGGTCTATTGCAGTGCAGAATAGAGCAAGGCAGGAATTCCAAGCAGAGATAGAGGAGAAAAGGCAGAATCAAGGAGATGTCATATAGCTGCCAAAGGAGACAGATGCCAGAATCTTATCAGTAAACCACGAGCCTCGTGGTAAAATACAAATTAATAGGAATTGGTTAATTTAAGATGTAAGAGTTAGTTAATAAGAAGCCCAAGCTAATAGGCTGGTCAGTGTTTTAATTAATATAGTTTCTGTGTTATTATTTCAATTCTGGGTGGCCAGGAAATAAATAAGCAGCCCCTCTGAATCCACATTTAGAACATTCTTTAAAAAAAAATTGTATATTTTACAGACCAATCAGTTTCCCCTCCCTTCTCAGTCCCCTCTCTCCCATTCCTTCCCCCACCTCCCTTCTACCCCACCATCCGTTCCTCTTCTCTCTCCATTCAGAAGGGGTAAGGCCTCCCCTGGGAATCAAGAAAGCATGGCATATCAAGTTGAGGGAAGACCAAGCTTCTCTTTTATGTATCAAAGCATCCCACCATTGGGATTACAGTATGAAAAAAACATTAACTTTCTAAAAGGAATTCCTAATGTAATCACAGTCAAGACATTCTATGGAGAGCAGCACAGGGACCAGAGTGGAAGAACTATTTCATAGCAATGGATGTGTAGCTAACATGTGTGTGAAGGGCCAGTGACAGAAGGGAATACAGATTTAGAGCAGCTCCTAACAGCTTCAGAAATACCATGACACAGTTAGTATTACAAATGAATTTGGAAAAGGAAACCAGTTTTGTGAATGATACTAAGATGATTGATCATCTACATTTAAAACTAATTTCATTTCCAAAAATATGTGTTCCCTTCAGGAATCTTAAATTATGCTTTATAATAATAAACTTTAAACAATAATATTAACTCATGTTATCATAGAAAGTCACTTTTGATGTAATTAACTTTTATAAAGATTACTGTAATAATCTAATATCTCCCACGGTAACCAGCTGGCAATGGAAAATGAAATACTATATAACATATACATTGTCATATGTATTTATTATATTTAAACCACAATATGCTCTTACAATACATTTACATCTGATGTTCTAACAAGTTCAATTAGCTGTATTAACCCCAATTCTTACTAAAATTCTGGCCAGATGTGATGTAATGCTTGCTTGGTTTTATGTAGCCTGCAGCTTAAACACTCCCTATGGCAGACAGATTGCTCATCATGGACTTTAACCCTGAAGGTGAGTCTTTGTCAGCTGAGCACTACCAAGAGTAGAGATTTCGAAAGTGTTTGCCAAACGCAAGATGTTTCCTTCTAAATAGTCCAAGTCCTTTGTCTAAAGCCGCACGTGTGCCTCACACCATCCCCCTCTTTCCACCTACAGCCATCATGCGACCCTCTAGGACTCGGCCGCTAAATCCTAGTTACCACACTCTCACCTTTACATAGCCTCAGTTACCAGTTAGGGGTCCTCCCTGGTGATTCTGATTTTCACTGAAAAAACTTGCAGTGAGGTTTGGTAACAAAACCAGGCTCTGTACCTCAAAAGATTGAGGTAGAAAGGCAGGTGCAACACATTGCCCATCTCATGCTTTTCATGAATTACTCTCTCAACAACAATGCTGAACAGTTAACAGGAAGGAAATTGTGACAGTATGTAGGAAATTCATGAATTATTGCTACAAGGCTGTTGCTAAATAAAATATGTATTGCACAATGTATTGAACAACCAAATCTTTCTCCAGTGGTCTACGGTAAGCATGAGGCTCCGTACGACTGCACATCTTCCAGAATGAAGACAAGATGGAACACTGCCATCTTCAGTGTCAGTCAATAGGAGGTGTTTGGACTTGCAGGTATCACTTAGGCTATATCTGTGACATAGCTGTTTTTTTTTGCTTTTATTTTTAATATTTCAATATCCATGTGAAGGAAAATAGAGCAGAGTTTGGGGAATGTGAAAAGAAATATTTTGAATATGTCTTCATTCTAATAAACGTAATTGTGTGTACTCATATCTATCTGTAACTATGTATAGTAGTTTAGGTTTATCAGCATCATTCAGAGCAGAGTCTCTGATTGCCACTGGATTTTCAAGAATTTTATTTAAAACAAAATTGTGCTGACAAGGATAGAGAAACTATTCTAAGAGAGTTAGAGTGAGAACACACAACGTGCTCCTAGAGTGAGAAATGGGCCCCAAATGAGAGTTCCAAAACCTCAGAAACTATCAAAATTTGTACTAGTCAAAAATGGTCAGTGAGCAAAGGTGACAGCCTGTTTGAGTACACGCAGTCTACGTCACCACACAGCCACTTCGTGGTAAATGCAATCAAGAAGATACCTGCGCCATTGCCTGGCCTTTACTTAACATAGACTTCAGCGGCAGCACACATGTGTGGTTTTCCTCATTCCCTTTCTGTATCTGCCGTCATGACACAACACAAAGAAGAAAATTCACCATATTGCATCACACAACAGAGATAAAATCAAATGTGATCATGGAAAAAAATGATAAAAAGTTTAAAGCGGAAGATACTCTTATTAGCCTGGGTTCGCCAAATGTCCACTGAAATGTGCAAGCGAGTACACATGAAATCAGCTCTAAATGTTTCTGTATAGCACATTTTTATCCTAACTCCAAGGGACTACCATATGGCACACGCCGTGATGACAAAGGAATTTTCTTATTAATGGACACTGGGGCGGGGAGACTCTGCTGCAGGGGAGGTCACAGCGCAGCTGCAGCTTCAATGGCTGCTCTGCCACTGGCAGAATCAGAAAGAGGCAAAGTTCAAACCACACATAAGCACAGCAATGATTGTGAGAGGACCTGAAACGTTACAGCCTGTTTGGAAAAAGGAACTGTGCAAGGATTTAACTTCTCACGTGAGCGCCCAGGAAGTCAGAGTCTGGAACATCTTATGTGCATTGGCGCACTGATGCTCGTCCTGGAAGGAAAACGGCATCAGCTTTCAGACCTCTCCAAGTCTATTTTGAGTATTTTAAGACTTCTATTCCTCATGAACACATTTTTTAAAAATATTTTTATCTTCTGCGTGTGTCACAAACTACACAGGACAATGCCATAAAATGTGTAGTGTGCGTGTGTATGTATAAATAGGTGTGTGTGTGTGTGTGTGTGTGTGTGCGTGCGCACGCGTGTTGGAGGTTGGGCTCAATACATACGGGTCTTCCTAGCAGAATCTTCCACAAACAGAGAAGAGATGTCTTCATCCACGCCCGCTTCATTCCTAGCAATGCACGTGTACGCTCCAGTGTCTTCATAGCGCACGTTACTGATGTGGACCTCACTGCCGTTTGCTGGAAACAGAAGGCAAACGAGGCTTGTAAGGACGGTTTTAGCTTTGGCACTGCACGTTCCGATTACACGGTCAAACATCTCACTGAGCTTGTCCTAATTAAACTGTTTTCTTTCCTTCTCCCATATTTGGGAGATGCGCCCCGTTGCTCCAGAGGTTCTCAAGTGTTTGTACATTGTGTTGTCGCTCCATTGACGAGAGCTCAGCACTAGCAAATGAGACTTTACATTTTATAACATCTCTTCCTAAATTCATATGAAATATTTCTTATTTGTAACGATTGTCTTATTGATATATGTATTTATATTTAAAACAAAAATGCAGACTAAGATTTTTTCTAAAGATCAAACAGCAACAATCTTGTCCACTTAAAGTAGCACAAGTGAAAATCTGTCACAGATTGAGTAGATGCTATCAGTAAATCTCATTAAGAAAGTCACTGTCGTGGATTAAGTGAATTATATCAGTAATTCTCATTAAGGAAGTTAACAGTGTACGGCTGTCACTTAAGCAGCCTTATTAGATATTTGGAAATATTAAAAAAAGCAGACAAGCAGGTAATAACTTAATTGTCTAAACCTTTCCCCAAAACTTACCTTAAATAAATTATATGTAAAAAAATATAACTACCACAAGTACATTTAAGATTTCAAATCTTAGTGAGAGACTATTTTAATAAAATCCTTGAATAATAAGTTGAATCTTTCAACACCAAAATCAAGGAGTATTTAATTATGTATGACATGCTGGACAAAAGCTAGGACCTTCACATATCTTATTAGATAATCTACACAAATGCTATTTAATTATCAGATGAAGAGTTTGAGATTCATAGAATGAATTCTTACAAGTACTCAAGTTCAAAGGCTTGATTTTTATGAGAACTATGTACGTCAAAATCTGTGTTCTATTGCTATCATGAGTTTTATCTCTCTTCTCCCCTTTTCATTTTTATGGAAATGCCTCTCTGGTGTCAGGTATCTAGGCTCCATGTTGCTGGGTCACAAATGCAGCAATACAGCATATAGCAGATTGGAACCCAACTTTACGTGTCAGGTGAAGGACAGGTAAATTGGTGTGGTTCTATTAGAGAAAAAAGTGCTGGTTGTGACAGAAAGATTGATGAGAAGCAGGGAAGTATCTTCTCCCACAAACACCTATCAAAATGTGGCTTTAAGTGGAATGCCTCCCATAGGCTTCTGTGTTTGAACATTTGGTCCTTAGAAGATGGCACTGTTTGGGAAGTGCCTGGATTCTTTAGGAGGTAAACACACTGTAGGGAAATGGGTCATTGAGAGTAAACCTTGGAGCTTCAGAAAGCAGATGCTTTACCTACTCACTCTTTACAAATGGAATGTGTCCCTTCAAGGGAAAGCCAGAATAAACCCTTCTCTGCTTAAACTGCTTTTATCAGCTCTTTTGTCTCAAAAATGAGGCGAGTTAGTAATACAGAAGAAAACATCTGACTCAACTTGTCTGACTGATTGAGATGAACAGCACTTGTGCTTGCCTTTAGAGACTCAGCCAACAACAATCAGCAGGGAGCCATTCCCCAAGAAGGAAGTGATACTCACTAAGGTTTACTTTATTTCACTGTATTTACTAATTTCAATTTTCTTTTATTATTTATAGTTTTGTATTTTTACTTTTAAGTTGTTGTGTAGCTTATAATGCATCTAAACTGACTTTTGAAGACTGCCCTTTCTTTCTCTGTCCCTATCCTACATTTTTTTTTCTGGTGTTTCTAATATCTGTGACTAAACATGTTTTCTTATTCATTTAGCCTTTTCCTTTATAACCAATATCCATCTCCTTTTCATTGATGCTTAATTATTGGCAGCCTAAAAAATCTATGAAATGATCTGAAAAATAATTAAATAATCACAGTATTAAACTATCGTCATGAACTACATTATCCATAGCACACAGTTTTCTTTCTCTTGTGTTGTTTTTCCTACTCTTATCTAATATTTGTACTTATTCTCGCAATAATCTCTACATTTATAATTATAATTGATAAAAACTCTTTTTTTCTGGGACACCACTTTTTATGTTTCAGATTGGAATGAAGAACTTTTATAATCTCTCTTGCTGATATTCCTGGAAGCAGGCAGACACTGGTTTGTATAATATAAGTTACTGTCAGAAATGATTAGGATAGGGCAGGAGTAAGTGATGATTGGACTTTTCTTCATTCTATTTCTATTAATTTGATTAGCCTCTTGTGCCTGGGTTACAAGCTCTGAAATGAAAGAAGCAAGCATAAATACATAAAGTTGACAGTGTGTACCTGCCAATTAGTTTTTTAGTAAAATCAGATTTTTAAAGTTCAAAAGTTGTTTTCTAGATTTGTAATTATTGACATAAACCAAAGTTTGAAATATTTTGCATAAAAAATTACTGACTAAAATTATCTACTACGAAAATGGGATAATAGGAAAATTTATGTTTATTAAATGATAAAAATAAAATGGATTGATATTTATCAATACCATTTGAAGAAATTTACAAGGGACAAATGAAGAAATCATGACTTTTATGCTAATACATCGTCATACCAGCACAGTGAGTTGTTGAGCATAACAATGAATAAAGCACACCAGATTTATGTACATCTTTAAAGATATTAGAGTCAACAAATCATACTTAACTGCTTTTTTATTACTTAATTACTTAGCCCTATTAAAAATCATTCGTTTTCATTTTCAACTTATTTGTGATCTATTTCATATATATAACAATTGATTAGTCATTTGTAGATATTGTCATATTAATAATTGAAAAATAGGCTCAAACTTCTTCCTACACCCTTATTTGGGTACTGAAAGTTAGGTTTTCCAGCCCCTAAGCAGTTAGTCAAACTTCTCATCTTCCTTAACAAAGAGCTAAGGAATCAAAGACCTGGAGCAGTCAGGCCAAGCTCCAGCTCCTCATCTCCTGGTGTACACAAGTACATCTTCCCAAATCCTTCCAGTTCTTTATAGAAGCAGGTAAAGAGTTCCAAGACCCTGATCATTCTGTCCAAACTTCTGAAGATGGCTGGTAAGTGCTATTGGTATATCAGTTTAGTTTTTCTGCAATGATGCTATCTCTTTTTTACTGAATTACATTTTCTTATATTATACTATAATGCCACAACTATCAATCCAGACTATTATACTCAGAAAAACTATCTATTAAATTAATGGAGAAACTTTTTAAAAGAAACTTTTCTATGATAAAAACAAATTAAAGCAATTTTTAATCACTAAGTAAGTTCTAACTCCACAGAAAATGCTAGAAGTGATACTTCAATCTGAAGATAATGATAAACACACTCAAGATGTCACAGGGAAAAAGTAAACAATTGGAGAACAATTAATCAAAAGAGGTTTATAATTAAATATTGTACTTATCACAAAAATAATGGCATCCTATATTAATCTCTATGACAAGACTATTATTTATAACAGTAAACATATTAGAGGAATGTATCCGCTTTTTCTTAGATGCAACCATGTTTTAATATTTTCAACAGCTATTGAAATAACTTATTGTTTTTCATGTGATTTGTATTGCAATATTTTCTAAAATTTAATATAAAAGATCTGCATACTCATTTAAGGAAAATAATGTAAGAAACAGGCACCTTGAAGTGTGAGCTGTTTGGAGAGCTTTGGTGTAATGTCAATTCCATTCTTCAGCCAGCCAAGCTGAGGGTCTGGTATGCCCTCGGCATGGCACCGAAGGCTTGCAGTTACCCCAGGTTCTCTGGCCTGACTCTCTGGATACACTCGTATGACTGGAGGAACTAAATGGGGAAGAAAAAATTGATAAGTAATCAGCATTTACCATTTGATCTTTTAAATGAACAAAATTATAAGATGATCCCTTATGAATTATTCATTTTCATTAGGGTGTATAATTAGTTTCCTGGTATAATTCTCTACTAAAATATCCCAGGGTTGCTTGGGGAAAGATAATTCTGGTCCTATGTCAGAAAAAATACAATTCAAACATGGGCTATCGTGTTTCAGAAACTGTAATCTTGAAAATATAAAATTTAAATAGGCTCCCACTTTCCTACTACAGGATGACTTATGCATTAAATTAACACATAAAAGCATTATAAAGAATTAAAACCTTTTGGATTCAGTTATTTAAATAACTGTGTAGTTAGAAAGACATACTCTTCCTTAACATAGCACATATAGAGATTAATAATATTTTACACATAATGGTATACTAAAAACACACTATTAACAATAAGGTTTGTTAAAAACATGCAAAACTTTAAAAAACATTGTTGAAAGTATTTAAAGTAAATGAAATGTAAACTATAGTATTTTCATGATAAAAGAAACAAAGAAAGCATAAGAATAACCGAGTTATTCTTTTTAATACTGAATTTGATGGCGATTTCTTAGGTATGGCCCCATAATCACAAACACCAACATAAAAATAAATAAATTGATTTTTAATTGAACTAAAATTTTGGATCATTACATAACATTGTCAGAAGACTTAGTTCAATTGCTAGGACAAACATGGTGATTCACAAACATCCAGTTCCAGTTTAAGGGAATGTGATACTCGCTTCTACCTCTGTTTGAATTAAGCACATACATGGCATACATACACACAATACATACGTACGTGGAGAGGAAACACTCTTGCTCATAAAAGAAAGGAAATAAATATAAAGCGATAAGAATCAATGGAAGGAAGTAAAACTAGAAAACAGTGCTGTCTATAATGTGTTTGACACAAAATATGGTACTTCAATGACATTCCCAGAATACACATTAATAAGAAGCAGGGTATAGAGGTGCAAGTTTGTAATTGGAGTTTATTTAGCAATTGTACCAAGTATTCTGAAAGAGTAACCAGTACACCAAACCACTAAGCTGCATTTCTTAGCCCCCCTTTATCTTTCCTGACAATGTTATGTGATGACTGAAAATTAGAATCAACCAGAATTACCATTAACAGGTATTAGCAAGCTATTTATGATCTTCAGAGATTTAAAACTGGTTTAAAAAATAGTTCAAAATAAAAATCCACTTCTCACATTATGAGAAAGTTCAAAATACAAATGAACAACAACTAATGACTAAATCACAACATGTGGGTTTTTTTTTTTTTTTTTGACATCATACAACAATATCTCCAGGGAACTTAAAGCTCTTAAGGATACTATAACACAAATGTTGAATTTCTGATACTAAACAAAATCAGTCTGACAGGAAAGGTCATACACAATAACAGTCAATTTGTATGAAAACCATATGGGTAAATGTGTTGAAACAGATTGACAGAACTCTTGGAGGAAAGAACAGAAGGAACATTTACTAATTGGATGAGGACTATTTGGGAAGAGGCAATGTAGGATTAGATAGATGGGCATACAATGCAGTATCTCTACAGCAGTATATCACTGATTTACATCATATCTGGATTTCTACCAGAATCAACACAAATAGCATAAGATCTAAAAATGTACTAGAACATTTACCTAAATTTAATCTACTAGTAAAAAGTCCTTAAAGGTTGATATATTGTTTCACTAAAAGAAGGAATAACACTAGGCCGGAGCAGGTCTGAAGCAGCGAACTCCACAAGAGCAGGACTGAACCAGCAACCTGGGCTGGAGTGAGCCTGTGAGGGTGAACTCCATGGGAGCAAGGACATTTGCAAAAGCAGGACAGGGCCAGAGACCTACGCTGGAACAGGCCTGAGGAGGCAAACTCTACAGGAGCAAGTAAGTACAGGGGAGTAACCACTGAGTAAGTGAACCAGAGCCAGAGACCTCTGCAGGTCTGGGTATGAATCTGGGACCTTTGAGGGAGTAGACCTGGGCCAGGACGCCTACGGGTCCAAGCATGAGTCTGTAACCTCTGAGGGAGTAGAGAGGTATCAGAAACCTCTGCAGGTTCTGGATGTGAATCTGGAACCTCTGAGGGAGTAGGCCTGAGCCAGGTCCTCTACAGGTCTGGGCACACCCAAGTCTGGTACATCTGAGAGAGTAGATTAGAGCCAGAGACCTTTGCAAGACTAACCCCTAGCCAGGGGCCTCTGCATGATCGGATGCAGACTAGGGAGATTTACAGAAACAGGTCTTAGCTGGCAACCTAGGCCAGAGCAGTCCTGAGACAGCAAACTCCACAGGAACAGAACAAACCCCTCGACCGCTGAGCGGACTCCAGGAATGCAGAGTGACCAATGATGTAACTAGAATGATGGAACTGACTGAACTATAAGGAAAAAAACATCTAAGCCTTGGATCCACCGGCACCTGCAAGATTAATCACCAGAATTGCAGAAACCCCCAACCACACCGATTAGAGGAAAAGATGAATAGTAAAGGTAAGAACAAACACAATGCCACAAAGAGCAACATGACACCAGTAAAATCTGTTGACTCTACAACGGCAAGACTTGAACAGATGTATATAGATGAAGCAGAAGAAAATGACCAAAAAAAAAATAACTTCAGAAGAATGTTTGAGACTCTGTTGTTTATTAAAATCTGATTTACAAGGAAAATACCATTATTCTAGATCTTGCTGAACTATAAAACCCATGTAAATCACAAGATTTGGTGATAAGGTCCAGAATGTAGCTACCATCAAACCTGAATCCCCTTCTCTCTTTTTGGTGATTCTCTAGATATCTAGTTGAGGCAATCACCAAATGCAACAGATATAATACAGAGGAATCAGAGGCAACCTTAGAAATAACTGTAGGCTAGACTCTGTTGATAGTGCCTTTAGCATTCTTAAACTTGGAAACCTCATAGATATCCAAAATCATAAACACAGGAAGTAGCTGAATCCTATCCCCTCTGCAAATATAATTCAAAAAATATAACATAGGCATGTTGGGGAGTTAATATCTAGTTATATTTCTTAACCAGTGATTACAATGTAAATAATCTCCTTTGGTGTATCAGAAGCAACTCTAAAGGCCCTCATGATAACTTTGGCCAAAGTGTCACATGCAAATTTAAATTTGTCTCATATATCTACCACTGAGTAGCTTTCATAGCATTTTATTTTGTTTAAGTTGGGAAGCAAAAGCTTTTTTAAAAGGTATGCTGGAACACCTGGGAAATTCATACAAAATGCCTTTGAAGCGCTCACACCCCGTCTCCAATCTCCTAACAAGCAGAGTGTCTGGAAATGAGCTTTTAGTGAAGACTTATATAAAGAGCCAGAAGGGAAAACAACTCTTAATAAATATTTAATAAAAGAAAGTGTATCTTTTGACAGAATTTATGAGCAAAATGAGAATCAATACAATCTGCAGCATTTCTCTCAGGACAGGAAATAAGAGACAGCATAAACATATTAGAGAATTAATTTTCTAGAGTAACTATCGATAAACTCAAATGGGAAAATAGATTCTACGTAATTCATATAAAATATATAGATTTTAAGTAGGCTGTCTATAGTCACACTAATCCTGACGGGCAAAGGAAAGGGTTTCAAAGAGCTTCAATTTGTCCTGCATTGCTACCGGCGTCTCACTTACCAAATACTCTGAGCTGAGAGAAATGAAACTATTGAACACTACATCTTCACCATTGAAGTTTAATACACAAATCAAATGTGTTTCAAGAAAGCAACAGATTCCTGGGGAAATATACATCTCACTTACACTACTGACATTAAGTGGTGGTAAGCAACAGAATCTGAGGTGATTGGTATGGCAATTATTGCATCGCGGTAACAAGCTAAGCATTTAAAAACAGTTCATTCCTGAGATTCATGTTTAAAGTATAACTGTTTAAAGATTGATGGCAACCTTAATTCAGAAGCTGACAATCCCCCAAAAGAATACTTCAAGTCCTTTGGGACATTCATTTCTATAATGAAGACACTATAAACCTGCCTTTTCTTTTTTACTGTTAGTACATATGGAAGGGATCTTATCTGTGTAAAAGGGTTTCCATGGCTATACAAACATAACACAAGCTACATTCATCTGAAAGGAGGGATCTCAGGGGAAAGAAACGCGCCCCCCTAAGATCCAGCTATAGGACATTTCCTTAATTAGTGATTGACGGGCCGGGTCTGGCCCATTGTGAATGATGCCATTCCTGGGCTGGTTATCCTGGGTTTTATAGGAAAGCAAGCTAAGAGAGCCATGATGAACAATCAGTGTCTTCTACATGAGCTCCCGATTCCAGGTCCCTATCATCTTTGAGTTCCTGTCCTGACTTCTTTCATTGATGGACTACAAGGTAGAAGCATAAATCAAATAAACCCCTTCCTTCTAAGCTTGGATTTGGTGTCAGTGTTTCATCAATAGCAGTAGAAATCCCAGGACAAGCTTTTATTCAGCTTAGATTGAGCAACCAACTTGGCCGCACTGACACAGACTTCCAATACTGTACATGAAAGTAAGTTTCTCAATATTCTCTTTGCTATTCATTTTTTTTCACTTTTCTTTCTTTTCAATTCTTTGGAGAGGAGGGTTGAGTCAGTTTTATGGCTACATCCTTTTTTGTACCTTTGTTTGGCCCCATACTTCTAATCCTCCTGCCTCAGGCTCCTGAGCACTTAAATCATTACCATCTGTGATTTGGTGTTTCCTAATGATATTTGATATCTCACAAAAATAAATTATGAATTGTTATCTCCAGTCAGAATTGTTTAAACTGCTTATTTCACACAATATTGCCAAATGATGAATTGGTCAGATCTCTCAGTCTTTGCTTTACAAGTGTGAGGACCACAATTATATCCACAGAAGCAACCTAAAAGTAAAGCAGGTATGTAATACCATACAATCCCACCACTTAGGAGG